TTCCCCCCCACCCCCAAATCAAAATCCTGGCTACGGGCCTGTAAGTTGGTATTTCAGAGCAATGAGGAGACAGGTGAGGATGAATTGTGCTCTCCCTCTTCTCCAATCTCCTCGGTTCTCCAGCCAACCTCACTCCAGGTGATGAGACACCAGCAGGATCCATGTCACGCCCACTGTCCACTATGATGTAAAGAATGTGAGGGGATGGTGAATACAATCCCATGTCCCCAAGGCACCTTTTAAACAGTTACTACTTCCATCTCGGAATTTGTAGCAACCTGCAACTTTCGTTAATGTGGTTCAAGGCAGAGTTAAGCAACTTTGGCCTGGATCAGCGCTGCGCATCATTTAGCCACCACGGAGCTGATTTGTTGCTAAATTTTCCGTGTAGATGTGCCCATTGTCTCCTGTGTCCTCAAATCACAAACCATACAGGCAGTTAAAAACATTTGACTTGGAAACAACTCGTAGTTACAAACAGGGGTGAGACAACAGGAAGTGAGAGAAATTTACCCCTAGGAAGGGAAATTCACTTCTGAAAAAATTATCACGGGGAAGCTTTATCACCAATCTGTGTTTCCACAAATCATTTTTTTCCAGAACCCAATTATCACAGGGATAGAAAGTGAGGTGAAATCTTCTGAACAGGGAATGCAGGGCCCTTCCAGACAGCGCCTATGTCCCAGGATCTGATACCAGGGTTTCTGCTTTAAACTGGATTATATGAGCCTGCACTGTCGGATATTCTGTCATAAACAGAAAACCTGGAATCATATCCTGGGATATAGGATATGTCTGGAAAGGTCCGCAGACATCAAAATAAACACCATAGGATTGTTAACCCATCTCTATGCTATCCAAAGCTTATATGCATATGGCTGGTGTTACACTTAAAAATGTACCTGTTCTGACTTACAAACAAATTCAGTTTAAGAACCAACCTAAAGAACCTTGTTTGTAACTTGGGGATTGCCTGTACTATACTATCTCTTTCAAGAAATTGGCAATCTCGTTATTTCCCCTTACTTCAAAACCAAAATAGCTGTTAAATATTATGCACAGCACTGATATTTAATATTCCCTGAATGCCCAGTTTGTATAAGTATTACATTTAGGAAAACTCGTAATGTTGAATAACCTGAAAAAAAATACTGTATTCTGTGATGTCATCTGGTGTTTTGATGAGTTTAGATTGAAAAAATTTCATGTTTTATTTTCTTTTGATTGATCTCCATATTTTAAATGAATACGTGCCTTCTCAAAATAATTAATCTTGCTGAACCACTAGAAAAACATATGGCTCCAGATGGTTTCAGACAATCTTTTTCTCTTATTTAACTCCTTTGAGTTTAGTATTTTCTTCCCCTGCCTCCCATGCATATTGTTCAACTAATCCAACGATGTGTTCCATTTTGTGGTATACCTTATACAAGCAGGCTACAAATTAGAAAAAAGATCTGGGTTTGTTACATATTATAATTGCAAAAGTTTCCTGCATCTTAGCTCAGATGTCATTCTGTGCAGATTGACTGTTTAGGTTTTGGCTGTGGTTTAGGCAGATATAATAACTAATCCCTATCCTGAGTACCTCAAATGTGGCCAAGATGAAAAAATGGTTTACTTGCTTCATGGTTAATGCGATGTATTCTACAGGGTATTTCAAAACGATGGACCCGGTTTCAAACAGTATATTTCACAATGGCAATATTTATTTATTTATAGTAACAGAAGCAATCTGAGAGTGCAGTTGTAATGTATTTAAAAACACAAAGTTTAAAAAACTTGGCATTGTACTAAATTTCCTTTGACCAGTAGCTGGCCACTTAGAATGCCTCTGGTGTTGCTATAAGAAGGTCCTCTACTGTGCATGTTGCATGGCCCAGACTGCATTGTAATAGGTGGTCTTTGGTTTTCTCTTCTCCACACTCGCATGTCATGGACTCCATTTTGTGGCCCCATTTCTTAAGGTTGGCTCTCATCTCGTGGTGCCAGAGCACAGTCTGTTTAACGCCTTCCAAGTCATCCAGTCTCCTGAGTCTCTCATTCCGCATTAGCCATGGCTTGAGGTTCCGGATTTTAGCCTGCCACTTTTGGACTCTCACTTGCTGAGATGTTCCTGCAAGTATCTCTGTACATCTTACAAAACTATTTCTTGATTTAAGGCATTGGCATGCTGGCTGATATCCAAACAGGGGATGGGCCAGAGATGTCATTGCTTTTGTCCTTTCATTATTGGCTGCTGCTTCCCGGCGGGTGTCAGGTGATGCAATACCAGCTAAACAGTATAATTTCTCCAGTGGTGCAGAACGTAGACCTCCTGTGATAATGCGGAATGTCTCATTAAGGGCCACATCCACTGTTTTAACGTGGTGAGATGTGTTCCACACTGGGCATGCATATTACAATTACACAAAATATTACATACAATCTAATGAGTTATCAATTTTATTAACTATTTTGAACCAGAAACAAATATTTAAAACCTCTACTAATTGGAGAATATTTTATTAAACTTTGTGTTGTGAGGTCATCATCTTATGAATGACTGAGGCTAGGGGTTATGTGCACTGGGAAAGACATCTAATGCTAATCAGTTAAAACTCTATGCCCCACCCTTTCAAGTGACAAAAGTTTCTTTCAGGGGTGATTCGTGGTTGTAGAGGTCAAACTGACTAAATTGCCTGTTGAGGCAACAGGAAATACTCAAGAGCCATCAGGAATCTATTCAGATCCCTAAGTTCTCTTGGGCTATCTTAACATTGCACAGGCTGTGAGTTCCAGTGAGTCTAAACCTGATCAGGTATGGGCTCTCCATGACAACACAACTATATGAAGTCCTTCCACTTCCAGATCACTGTAAGTGCAGAAAACTAAGTCCGTAGTATACCCAGCAACATGAAAAGAGCCAGATAGCACTTGGGACAGATCCATGGTTTTCATGACAGACATTTAGTTCTGAGGAACAATAAATGTCCATTTTTGCATTTTTCTACCATGATGACATACCTATTTTTTAAAAAATATATCTTACTTTGCCTTGTACCACTGAAATGGTCACACCATGAGTCCACCATATCCCACCAGTTCTCCATAAAACATTAATCAGCAGGCGAAGCTCTGATTTTGACTATTGGAAAATTATAAATTGTAGATGGGCCCTTGTTCTGGCAGCTAGGTATTAACACTCCTTTTTCTTCCTACCAAACTGAGGGACAGGCAATCCTTTTATTGCACAGAAATGGCTCCCCCAAAAGGAAACCCAAACAGTAAAAGTTGCTGCATTCAGTCTTTTTGGGAGGTGGGTTGGAATCAAAGGTAAAAAATTAAGAGTGCAGTCTCCGCATGTATGATCAGATGTAAAACTTGCTGAATTGTTTGGAAATGTTCCCAGGTAAATGTGTGCTGAGCAATCAATGAAATTATGAAATTGTGGGTGACAGTTTTTCCTTGAATTACAGGGTCAATTTCATGAATATCAAGTCACTTCCCCTCTATAGCCCTTTGTTGAGAGGTGGCATGGTGCAATGGTTTGAGTGTTGGATTTGGATTCTGGAAGACAAAGGTTCAGATCTTAGCCCCAGAAACACACTGGATTATTTTGGGCAAGTCATACCCTCACGACCTCAGAATAGATTATGACAACCTCCTTCTGAATAATTATGCTGAGAGAACCCTGTGATAAGTTTGCTGTAAGGTAATAATAAACTGAAAGTTAGTGAAAGACACACAGCAACATATTTATATTGCTTTCCATTTTGTTTTCAGGTGCAAATAAAATACTGATGATGGCCATTAAAACCCTTTTATAGTATGAAGAACAGGATATTTAAAGGACTGGCTTTTGTCATCTGATCCTGCTTGCTTGTTAAAATAGTTGGCAGAGGGTCTCCTGTGTGTTCCAACTTTCCCAGAAAGTTGTCTAATTGGGACTGGGGAGAGGACCTTTTCAGTAACTGCAGCAATTGAAAATAAATATAAATCTCTCCAGAGAGAGGTTTGTCTGGCCAACTCTAAAGGACTTTCATAGTCTAAATCTTCCGTGTTGGAAAGGCTTTGGACCATAAATGGTTGCTATGATTTTGACAGATGTTTTGTCCTCTTATTCCATCTGCTGTTTGGTATTTTATCCCATGGTTGCTTTACAGTATTTATTGCTGTTACAGTGCTTATTCAAATAATGAATGTATTGTTTTAAATGAGACAATAAATTGGAGTCAGTTGATAAAGAAGTCATCTGCTGCAGACCACAGATTATGAATTTAGTTTGTTTACAAATGGGAGTCTTTAAAAAACCCATTATTCTTGGGTTGTACACTGTGACAAGGCAGAGTTTGAAAACACAAATGGAATTCTTGCATAAATTGAAATCACTGAAAAGTTAAGAAAAATGGACTGGTATGAATGATGGTAGCTTGTCCTGAATTTTTCATGAATATAGGCGTTTCAAAGAAATAGGATGAGAGTGATTTCCAAAGTTGTTCTGTTATCTATTTTTTTGTATGAAATGACACTGTTTCACTGAGGGCCCTCCCACACAGCCATATAACCCAGAATATCAAGGCAGATAATCCACAATATCTGCTTTGAATTGGATTATCTAAGTCCACACTGTCATATAATCCTTGAGCTTGTTTGGAGGTTCTAGCAGGGGAGCACAGCTATTGTATACCCAGGACCAAAGACTGGAGACCTTGGTGCACTCCTTCTATACCTGGGATGTTGTTCTCTTCCACCGAGCGTGCAGCTTCGGGAGGGATGCACATGGAGCGTTGAGGGAGTAAGGGGACACCCGCCTAGCCAGCCAGATTAGCCGAACCGACCCTGGCGCTCAATGGGGTGACAGATGTCGCAGCCAGATCGCCCTGACATCCAATCTCATCATTGCAAATGGTTGAAGAATGGAGGATGATGGAATGGAGGCTTATGGAAATATTTTTCAGTGTATTCATGTAGTGTACTCAACTATTGTGATATAAACAGGCATTCTTTTAACTTTTCAGGTGGTAATATCAAGAACAAGACAAAGAATATTTTAAATCACCATCAAATATGGCAAAATAAAACCAATGGATTATAAGAATGAAGATGTGACTGAGAGCTTCTGTACACCTCACCACAAAGTATGTTTAATGTCATTGTTTTTATATCTCTTGCATGTGAAGTGGGAAATACAATGGATGCTTACATTTTGAATAGAAAGTTGGATGCAGTTAAGAATATTACAATGTAAATGTTTTGGCAGTCTTTTCAATATGTTGCAGAATGGTGCTTGCTGAAGTTTCTTGAGCAACTCTGAGTTGTGGACTGGTTGTAATTAGTTGTAAATCTAGAAAAAAAATTAGCAAATTGTGTGGTGGAAGCTATTGACAGACTTGTTCCAGGGGGTCAGGGTTGGTTGAAGTACAAATCCCTGTCACTGGGTTTTCAAACTGGTCTAGTGGGACAATGAATCTGGCCATTGCTTTCTCCTGTCTGGAATGTTGGGACATTAACCTTGGAAGTAGTGATGTTTCCAAGACTTGTATGACTTGGCTTGGAAATGCAGTCTTTGAAGGCTTTGGATGCTCTGAGATCCCTCAGAGGTGAGAAAAGCGGTATTTAAATGCAGTAAACAACAGCAATGTGAACATTATGACCTCATATGTTTTCACCCTACCTGGATTTAAATTTGAAGTAGTTGGAAATTAAATTGCTTACCATGCATGATTTTCAATTTTGTCCTTGTTCCCTTATTTGATTAGGACTTGGTGCCATTGATGGTTTAACAGGAGGCTGTTATTTCCAACCAAAGTGCCTGGTGTGCTGTTGCCACCAGGATATAGTTGATGAGCACACATATACACAAAGACAAAAAGCCATGTTAGCAAATAGAAAGGAAGGAATTTCATCAAGTAACCTAATCTATTCTCATACACTATGTCACTGCGCCAAGCTCTGCTTCAATAATTGCTTGGTCTGGGTGTTTGCCAGGGCACTGAAACTAGCAAAGGTCCATCCACCTAATACTGTTGTCCTTGTTTCTTCACTCAAGCAGGTTAAGGACAGTGTGAGAGAATTTGCAGTTGGCATATTCTTTCTGTCTTAGATTAGGAGGGTCCATAATGGTGTCCATATCCAGCTGCCATCAAATCATGGAATGGCACTATATATCTCCCATTGGTTTAAACATGCTTCAGTATTCCTGGACTTATAAAAACCAGAGTGCATTTGAAGGAGATATATGGTCCATAAAGCATTTACTCTTTATACTATGGGTAGCACAATTGGAGACAATAATAAAGAAATGTTGCAGAAATAAATATAAAATGCTTTCACTAGCATCTCTTCAGAATTGTCCATTGATTTTGGACAATTTGCTTAGAGTCTTGAAGTAAGTACACTGCTTGCATTTTCCTCAAGCTGGCATGCACTCCAGCCAAATAGTTGTGTTTTAAATTCAGTTCACTGCGGAATAGATGATATTGTGCAGTTGAAAGTAGCTGTTATTTCATTTCCTAGCTGAAATGTGCTTTATGCAGCCACTTAAGAATTTTGAAGAGTGGCTGCAGAAAAAATAGCCAAGGTAACGTTGGTTTTTGTTTGGGGTTTAAAAAACATTTTTATGTGTTGTGTTAGCAATGTAGGATTCAGTTTGGGGTGCTGTTTATTGGTCGATGTGTGAAGGTTGTTCCTCAGAGAACACATACTTCTGTTACTCCAAATAGCCTCAGGTAGCAAAATCTCTCTGATCAGGCCTGATTTGCCCTCATGGTCTCCTCCTGCTATTAATTTTCTCCTATCAATTTCCCTTGCCGTTTCTTTACTCTTGGAAATCAGTCCATGAACAGCAAAAATTAATGGGTGAGATAGTTGAATGGAATAGAAGAAGATCTGTGGGACTGTATGTCCTGTTTTTCCCTTCATGCTTCAAATCATCACAATTTCTGCCATGAATCTTTTGGGTTCAACCTTTGGTCCTCAATACAGCTGTGAGGAGAAAACAAAGTAGTTAAATCCCATTGTGTTCACCGATGCCAGTCACCTGTCAACTTCTGATGATCCCATGAATTTCACTGATACTTACTCTTTAGTTTTGTGATTGTATTGTTAGTGCAGATAATTACACTTGGTCATATATATTGGATACTGTAGACTATATTTATGAGGAAAGAACTGGCAAAACTGCTACTGAATATTCCTGTCCTACGAAATCTCATGGGATAGCCCTAAATCAACAGAAGACTTGACCTTGTGGTCCATCCTGTCCAACTCCTGCCAAGAAGCAGTTCTTTAAAAGTCCTTTATTGCTGTTTTGAAAATGTGGCAACACTATCAGAAAATTAAATGGAATTGTAATATCTGGGCTAAATTGCACAAGTACAAGTTGAGTATAAGTTGAGATCAGAGAGCACCATTTTAGCTGTGGGATTCTGGAACTTGTGACCCCCAAAAACATTTTTTTCAAGCTATAATGGGAAAAAATCAGAATAACATGCTTACCAATAACAAATCCAATGCTTCATGTCAGATTTTGTCAGCAATCATATCCTCCTTCAGCTTTCAGTTCTGTGCCCCCCTTTCTCCTATTCTTTTTTTTTTTAAAGGATCCTAATGTGTCCACTTACAGATCTTGCTGACAACATCTTTTTTCTGACAGTAAATGGGTGAATAAGTATGCCACCTATCCCAAACTGATGTGTCTCCTTATTAAAGGGCCGTTTCAGAAAGTGCTAGCTATTCTGTGGACATTAGCCAGGGCATTTATAGCAATACCAGTATGTGTTTACAGAATGCACCTTGCTCAAAAGACCAGTTAGATACAGAATGTGTTCCTTACTGTGTAATTTTTCCTGGTATATGTCTTGCATTGGTTTGTTAAAAAGGCCTCATGAGATGTTACTGGATAGATTCTCCCATAATCTATCTTCTTTATCTGTGACAGCCAGTGTCTTCGTTACCTTTTGCCACCCGCCCCTCCATCCCCAGTGGTACATTTGGTCCCTTTTCTTGCAGAATACTTTTATAAGCCATGCCTGAAGTGAAATAACTGAGATAACAAGTAAAAATTTCCACATGGTGTATGACTACTCTTTCCTTCCTGTTGCATAAGGATGTTTTAGAAAAAGTAATTAATTCTTCATGAGACAAGTGATGAAGAGTTTAGTTTCAGAACTTAGAACATTCCCAGAGCAGATGTTACCATAAAGCTGTAGCAACAAAGCGTATATGACATGAAATGTTTTATGTTTTAACTCTTTTGTCGCTATCACTAATATGAAGCATCTTGACCTCAAAGTGCTGCTTATGTTCAGAAAACTGATCAAAGCAAAGGAACTAGAGTGAAAGATCAGAGACTTCAGGATTAAATGAAAAGGTTTTTGGATGAGGATGACCTGTGGGTCACTGCTTGCTCCTTACCTGGGAATTGTTCTTTCTAAACTGCTTTATTACTGACTTTCATGTTGGGTCTGGAAGACAAATGCAAGATTTCATCCTAGGAATGTGGGTGACCCAAGACGTTTTGCTCTCAGAGATAGAATGCAAATGGCACGTCTCCAAAATCAAAATCAAGCTATTTTGGCATCTCAGGAAGAAAATCCTAGAAAAAAATGATCTTTTATGAGAATTACAGTTAAAAAAAGGTTTTCTCCAAACTTTGGAAAAAATTCAGTTTTTTTCTTTATCCCTAGTAATAAAAACACACTATTAATATATGAAGTAATCAAATAACTGCTTGTTATTTTTTAAAGATAAATCTGTTTTCTTAGACACTTGCCTCATTTTGCTTAATGGTTGGCCTGGGAAAACTACAGACTGCACTCTTTTGTTGTTGAATCCGCCATCTCATGTCATACTACTTAAAGTAATGGCTCTTTAACTCAGAGAAATTACAGTAATTGCAAAATGAAAATGCAGACTGTGAGCTAGTTAACATGCAGTTACCGTGATGTGACCAATAATATGTCCTGCTGGTTTTCAGTCTCAGATATGGTTGACTCCTGCACCCAGCTATATTGTTAGACCACTAGGGAACTAAATGTTCTTGACAAAGCCAGACGTACTGATTGGAAGAATGAGTTATTTATATCTTTCTTAGGTGGTAAATAATATATAGCAGCACTGGTTGATTGTCCAGTTTATTCTTTAGGAAATACTGTTCTGTAGACATGTGCTGTCGCACGCTGGGCCTGTGCATTAGACTGTACACAGGACATTAATTCTCTGTGCCCAACGGGACGCCGGGGCTCAGATTAAAGGCCCTTAGATTCCCCCAAACAGAGTCTTTAGACTGCTTAAAGTAAATCCAACAAAGTTCTTTATTGATGAAAACAAACAGGTACTTTCAAGCTTTCTTAACAGTCTATAGGCTAGTCTAAAGGCAGGCAACTGTTCCTTCACTGTTGGGAAAATCCCCGACCTCTACCTGGGCAATCTGTCTTCTCTTCTGTTGGCGTGGGACCCCTACACCCGGTCCAATCTGCTTTATGGTTGCCGCGAAGGGCCCTTACCGAACAGAGACTTTGCAGAACTTCCAGGAGGAGGAAGATGTTCACTTCCCAGTGATGGCTGGCTGAAGTCCCTCAGCCAAGCTGTGGCTGTATGTCTCCTGGCCAAGCTGTAGGGCTGTATAACCCCGGCCAAGCTGTAAAAGACGAAGCTTTTCTACAGGAGCCACTTCGTTCTATGTCCTGTGCGCAAGGCTTCTCTGTGAGAACTAACTCAAAATGGCTCCTGTTCCCTCCAAAACTCAAAAAGGGGCGGGACCAGGGAACCTAACTATAACTGGCAGGTGGCTTACCCTATAAATGCAAATTATAACAGGAAACCCCCTGCTGCAAAATCCCAAGCATGGGATTGCACACAAACATTTAAACACAGCAAATAAATCTAGAGCTCCTGGAACAGCTGTTCCAGAACAAGACAATACAGTCAATTATTTGAGTTTTAGTTATTCAACAATATCACAATTTATTAATGTATTAAAACATTTTATTTGTCTGAATAATTTGGAGATAAAACTGCCATAACAACAGCAATTCTTTTTCCTGAGCTGTTAAAGAGAAAGAACACGTGTTGGATTTTAGAACAGCTGTACATTATTATCATTATTATCTGTTATTAATATACTATACATGACACT